TGTTGTTTAAGCCACCCAGTCTATGGTATTTTATTATGGCAGCCCAGACTGACTAAGGCAGATATATTACTTGCTAAAGGCTCTGATTCGTCTCTTTTGGGAGGGGTGAATTTTTTTGGTTATATAAGCAAAAGTGATATTTGTTAGGTGATATCCTTAAAATTTTAAGAAGTCTAGGGTTTGGGAAGAAGGATGTATGTTGATGTAGGATAGCCATAGGGTGGACTATAGAGATGTTTATTATTTTTTTCACTGCCCACAACCTTAACCCCTTTCTATGGTTTGAGGAATTTCCATCATAAACCCCTCCCCAGGGTCACGTACTAATTTTCCTAGCCCCCTTTGCAATTAGAACATGGGCACATGACTTGGCTTATCCAATCAGAAACATCTTTCAAGGGCTGTGAATAGGAAGCTTGTAGTGATACAAAGGAGCAGATTAGTAGAAAATCCATTTTGGTGGTGGCAGGAGCGGTGGCAGAAGTGATATCTGTTTTCCAGAGGCAGCTGAGCTGTGATTCCTGAGGTGGAATCTGGCAGGCTGATCACCTAACATTTGAAGGGCTTGCAGGAACAGTACAGATGGAGGCTCACATACCATGTATCTAAATATTTAAAGGTTATAGGCCTGATTGGTGTGGCTCAGTGGTTAAAGCATAGACCGGTGCACTGGAGGGTGGTGGATTCAATTCCTGGTCAAGGGCACGTACCTAGGTTGCAGGTTCGATCCCAGCCCCTGTCGGGGCTCAGGTGGGAGGCAATCAATCAATGTGTGTCTCTCACATTGATGTTTCTTTCTCTCTCTCTCCCACTTCCTCCCTCCTTTCCACTCTCTCTCTCTCTCTAAAAAAAAAAAAAAAGAAATTCAATGGAAAAAGTATCTTCAGATGAGGATTAACAAAAAAAAGTTATAAATCAAACTAACAGATTGTCAAATAAAAGTGTCTCTCACTACATTGAGAAATATATTTTCAAAACCACTTGAAGGCCAGGTTCAAGTTTAGAATTCTTGGAATCCTTGTAGCTCCATGAGAGAATGAGGTGGTAAGGGGAGGGCCAAGGTCCCGTACCCAACTTCTTCACTTTCTCTTCCCACCCCCTCCTCTTGCTGCCCTCGGTTCCAGTTGCATGGTGAAGGGTCTCATGTGCCTAGTGTAGAAAGTCCAGCTGCATACATGCAAGCTCCTTGGCCATTCTCTGGACCTAATAGTGTGCACAGCAGTGACAAAGTCTATCACAGGAAGGACAGATTTGAGGAAGAGTTCTGCATGGATTCTTGAAGTTGCTTGGGGCCACTTGGGCAGGGAATTCTTTAGTTTTCAGTTCCTGAACTGTGGTCTAGAAGGAGAAGCACTAGCTCCAGGTGGGCATGCCTCTTGGACCCTCAGCTCTTCTATGTGGGCAAAGTCTTAGGGGCCATCAAAGAAGCTTTCTGACAAGAGAGGTGCCTGCTCGTTCTTGCAGAGGGGCTTTTGAAGGAAACTCCCTACTTGGGAGTCCTACCCCTTTGTGAGACTATTTCCAAAGTTTCCTGGCTGTTTCTGAGTTTCCTGGAGGCCAGAGAGGGGGGCACAAGGGTGAGGGCTTACCAAGAATTAGAACATGAGATGATGAAAATGTGATCAAAACTGCATGGGGTTGGCTCTGACCAAACATCCGTGCAACAGAGACAGCATCACTGTCTTGAGAACTGGATGTGCTCCAGGTGTGAGTGGTGGAGGGGCATCGTGGGAAAGGCCTGTGTTCAATTCCATTGTTTGTTAATCAAATGTGTACTGGAGCTTGTTCTGTGCCAGCCCCTGTGCAGAGCTGTGTTGGAAATGGAGATGGACAGGCCCAATCCCTTCCTCTGGGAACTCTATCAATACATAGGGCAGGGAGATTTTTTTGTTGTTGTTAATCCTCACCGAAGGACATTTTCTCCATTGATTTTTAGAGAGAGTGGAAGGGAGGTGGGGAGGAAGGGGGGGGAGAGAGAGAGAGAGTGAAACATCGATTGGCTGGCTCCCACATGCTCCCCAACCGGGGCTGGGGATGAAACCTGCAACCCAGGTACATGCTCTTTATCCGGAGTTGACAGTGACACTTCAGTGCACGGACCAACACTCTAACCACTGAGCAACACGGGTCAGGCAAGACAGGGAGCTTTTTGTCCACCTATAAAGCTGGGAGCTCCCTGAGCAGGGATGTCAAGTTCGTTTAAAGAGATGTTGGCTCTGGGTCGGGAGGTATCACTCAGCTGCTGGACTTAAACCTGTAGTAGGGGCCATGTGCCATAGAGAAGAAGGTGTCTACCTATAGGCAGTGCTGAGAATATTTGAGTCAGGACAAGTCCCAAATTGCTGGGCTAAGCCCTCATGTTTCTGGCAGGGAAATAAGGAGATAAAACCCAGTGCCCAGGAAGGATTAGTGCTGGGGATGAGAAAGAGAAGGGAGGCAGCTAGGAGGAAAGGCACTGGGTAGAGGAAAGGTGGAGAGGGTTCCGTGCTTGCTCTCTGGGATTTGGTGTCTGCCCCAGGCTTCCTCAAAGTTCTTCATTTGCTTCACTAGCTCCTGGATTATCTCTCTTCCTGAGCCTCAGCTTCTCTTATGTTCCCAGAGGGTGTTTCCCTGTGGCCCCAGGAAGTGGTGATATTTCTGAATACATGTGATTTTGGGGAAGCGCATGTGAATGACAGGAGGTTAGCCTGAGACCCAAAGATTCATGAGTCAAGTTTTTGTTTGGAGGGACTTTTAAAAATTAAGCGCCCCCTCACTTGACAGAAGGGGGAACTAAGACCTTAGGGGGAAGTAAGGGAAAATCTTGCCTAGAGTTGAACAGTGAGGGGCAGAAACAAGATTGTGGGATTGATGGCTGAACACTGAGCTCAAGGCCTATTCCTGTAACATGCAGTGGCAGGGGCAGTGGCAAGGAAGTAGTGTACAGGGACCTCTGTCTTGGTAGCACCTTCCTCAGGGCTCCCACCCCTCCATCCCCTGAGGGTCCAGAGGGACAGTCTGTGTCTGCCTTTGTGATAGGCTGACCTCTGCTTGGCTTCCCTGGGAACTGAGAAGGAATTGAGGCAATGTGCCCCCCTCACACCTATGTTTATCCTCTACCTGCTGGGGTGCAGGGCATAGAATCCAAATGATATCCACAGCTGGGACCTTTGGAACTCCATGGCCGGCTAACTTGATGGATGGATTAATGGATGGATGTGTGGGTGGGTGGGAGAATGGATGGAGGTCTAATGGATGCTGGGACATTAGATGGATGGATGCATGGATGCATGAATGGATGGGTAATTTCCCCCAGGCAGCAGAGCCAAACTTCCCAGCCATAACAGTTGTTCTGGCAAACTTTCCCCCTCTCTCCCACTCCTTGTAACTCCAAGACCTGGGAAATCTGAGGTTTTAAACACCTGCTTCTGGGAGCAGACGGGAAGAAGCTGTCAGGCTCTCAGCTCAGCTGGCACAGCCCCCTTCCCATTTCTCCCCTTCCCAGGCCGCCCAGGCCTGTGCAGGCCTGGTTGTGTTACCAGATGAGTTATATCTGGTATAATGTTGACCACTCTTTCCAGGCAAGGATGCTCAGCCTGGTGTTCCAGCTGCCATTCAACCCCAGTGGCACAGACTTGCTGCTCCCAGCTGGACCTTAGAGGCCATAGTTGGAAGATCGGCCAGCTTCTCCAGAGGATTTCCCACACACAAGAGGTCTACTCTTCCCAGAGCTGTCCTGGGCTGCTCTGAGAGTTATAGGGCTTTAGTCTCCCAGAGCTGAGGTTCCTTCCCTTGAACCCCCTGGTCTCAGTGTTGCTTCGGCCCTGGAGCCCATGTAGGCTTCAGGGAAGGTGGACTTCTTTCAGGAAGAATCGCTCTAGCTTCCCTGGCTGCTCCTCCTTCTCTCCCATCTCTAACTTCTGGCTCCCAGGTCTGTCTGTCAGTATCCTGAGAAGCGTGGCCCTAGATGGGGCTGGCCCTGGCCCAGGATGACTGGGTGAGAGGGGAGGGCATGCCCGGAGGTCAGAGACTATAAGAACAGATGAGCTTCACCCCTGGTTGCCAAGCCTTTCCTCAGATATTTATTCATTTTCTAGAGAAATATTTGAGTGACTACCTTGTGCCAGACAGTGTGCTGAACACCAGGGTGACAGTGGAAACCAAATAAACAAGATCTCCTGTCCAGGAAGGCTGACAAACTAGCCATTATAACTCAGTGTGATGGGTGCTATAAGGAGAGAGGGGGAGGGGGTCCCTGGGAGCTTGGGAGGGAGGAACATTACCTAACCCAGTCTGGAGGAAAAGTGATCCAGACCCAGATGGGAAGCTATTTGAGTAGGAGAGAGAGCAGTGTTCCAGAGAGAGGGAATGGCATGAGCAGATGGGTACTTTCCCCTCAGGCAGTAGAGCTGCATCCCCTGTCTCTCCTCTTGCCAGGAGAGCTGGTTCCTGACAAGTCCCTTCGCCCTAGTGACACCTGATCCCTGAGACACCTGGATGTTGGAACACCTGCCTTGGAAAGCAGAGACTGGGAGGCATGAGAGAGTTTGGCTTGTTCAGGGGACTGACACAGGTTTAGTGTCGCTGAACCATGGAGTGTGACAGGATTTTGAGAAGACTGGAGCTGGAGCCCTGATTGTGGGAGCTTATCCTGAGAATATAGGGTGTTAGGTGGAGGTTGATGAGAAGGTTGCTCAGGCTACAGAGTGGAAAATAGACCCTGCCATTCCATCTCCCCGTTTCTATCCTGGTCCTCCTAAATAAACAGCAAACAGACAAATCTGTGGGTACGAGTGGGCTTTATTGGAAGCTTTGCAGTCTGGTTGTGGAGAAGCTGTGCTCCTATCATACTCACACTCACATTCACATTCACATTCACACTCCAGGCCCTGCCTGGCTTTGTCAGGTCTGGTGCAGAGGAGCTGATGATCTGGTTCTTTCTTTTGGTCCTCGGTTTCCCAGGGTGGCAGTGTTCACATCTTTTCACTCAGACATAGGGCTCCCTTGGGGGCTGTCATGGGCTAACTGCTCTGGCGCTTTCTCTGGAGGAGGAAGGGGAGGGAAGGTCATGGGCTGGGGTCTTGGGCAGGGGCTCAGAGGGAGGAGGCAGGGCTGGGGAGGGCTGGCTTGCCTTAGCAGAGTTCTTTTGCAGTCTCTGGATGATGCGGTTCACCCAAGGCTGGTCTTGGGGTGCGCAGAGCTGCCGACCTCTCTTTGTGATGAACCTGGAGCCAGAGGTCATAGGTCAGAGAGAATGGAGCCCTGGAACCCAGCTTCCTGGCAGGCCCCGGGTGTGAGGGTGAGAGGCGGAGGACCACACCTGAAAACCCATTTCAGGGGCTTCCTTGAAGGGGTTTGGGCTTGGCCGAGAGAAGAGATAAGAAAGTGGGGGTAGAATGGGGAGATGAGGCTAGATGCACTCCTCCCCACAACTCACACAACAGCAGACAATCTGCAGCCATCCCTGGCATAGAGGTATCGAAAGGCTTCCACGATATTCCCAGGGATAGGGTGCTGGGTCACAGACAGGCAGCAGTCTTCTGCGTCGTTGGCACCACCCTGAGCTGAGGTGGCGAGAAACAAAAGAAGGTAGTTACAACATAGGGACCCTGAGAAGGGAGGCCATAGCCCTAACTGGGATTCAGGACAGCTGTGTCTGTGTGTGGTCCTCTTGGATTCTAAATATATTGACTATTGACGTACTTCTAAGCTGTTTGGTAAACAACCACTGTTTTGAGCCCCACAAATGCCTTCCTGCTGCCCCATCACCCCAGCCTCTCTCTCAGGGCTTCTCGACTTTCCCACAAGTGAAGAGTTATGCTGGTCACAGCACTGAATTGATGAGGGAAGGGTGGGTGTGGGGTAGCAGGAGGCTGAGTTAGAGGACTTATCAGTTGTTAAATATTTTGACTATTGACCCTACCTCAGTGTCTTTCATTCTCCCCACATTAAGCAAATATATATATAGTTCTCTCCTTCTGCCTGGGAAACTGAGGCAGCAGGAAATAGAGCCTGCAGAGAGAGGGGTGGCCAGAGGCCCTGTGATACACCAAGAGAGAGACACACATTGGAATTCAGAGGCCCAGATATACCTGTGCTCAAAGGCATACATACACACAGGGCACAGGGCACCCCCAGGCTCACTGAACCATGCAGACCTAACTCTCAGTGTCCCGCATGTCCAGCGCCAAGCAGTCTGAGATCTAGACATTGCCTCTCCCGTCCCCTCCCTGCAAGCCCCCCTCAGCCTTACCAGGGGAGGTCCACAGAATCAGCAGGCTGATGGCCAGTAGAGCAGCTGCATGGGATGCCATGGAGAGTGAGCAATGGTTGACCGACGAGAGTGTGCGTGTGAGTGAGTCTCTGAGCATATGCAGGAGGCTGTGTGATGCTGAGCTTGGCTGGGAGTTGAAATGTCACAGGCGTCCTTGCGGGGTGTGCGGGGGTCTGGAAATGTGAGTGGGGAAGCCTGCGTGAGGCTGCGACTACCCCCTATTTATGGTCCAGGACTTTCACTATCTCTGATCAAAAATTCCCCTCCAACATTCATTCTGTGGATTCCCCTTTGCCCCGCCCCCCTCCTTCTGGGAAACTGACCCTTCCTTCCCTCCCTCTCCCCCCTCAGCGGCCTCCCACTTTTTTGCTTTCCTTGGCTTTAGCTCTGAGAACCTAAGCAGTCTGTAGTCTAGCCAAGAAAAGAGGACCTTGTGCTGTCAGCCCTTCGAGAGGGCCTGCACTGTCATCTCATTGGTGGCATTTGCATTCTCAACCACAGAGCTGACCTCCAGGGGTGGTGGTCAGGACTGGGGGGCCAGAGCGAGGAGTTGTGCCCCCTTCCCTAGGTTTTTGTTTTGTTTTTTGGTTAATCTTCACCTGAGGATATATTTTCCATTGATTTTCAGGGAGTGGAAGGGGGGAGGAAAGAGAGACACACACTGATTGGTTGCCTCCTGCACCCACCCAGACTGGGGGGTCGGTGATTGAACCTGCAACCCAGGTACGTGCCCTTGTCTGGGAATTGATCCAGCGATACTTCGGTGGGCAGGCCGGTGCTCTAACCACTGAACAACGCTGGCCAGGGTCCCCCTTCCCTAGGTTTATCCCTCATTCTCACTCTGTTCTCTGTGATTCTTCTCTTCTCTCTGGTGCAGGTGGAAAAGAAGGTTCCCTGATGCTCTCAGAACAAGCATGGAGCCTGGGGTAACCGCCAAGTCATCACAGTGCCTGCCCATCTGTCATCTGGGAACCAGGCCCTCCCTTGAGACAAGCAGAGCTGAAAGGGTATGTTCCTTGGAAGGAGGCCCAGTACCCCCATCCCACATGTCAGACCTCTGGGATTCAACTTCCTGGCTCAGTGAGCTCTACCCCTTTCTCTATTTACCATTTTCACATGTCCAACACCTGGGTCGATGGAACATCTGGAGGGAGCCTGGCCTGGAATAGTCCCCTTCGTCCTCCCCCTCTTCTCAACCCTGAGAACCAAGAGGGGATTTCTAAGGAGAGGGGCTGGCCAGCTCATATTGAGACAAATTCCCAAATTTCAAGGAATTGATAGATGGGGAAGGGGACAAGTGATTTCCCATCCTTACAAGAAAGACTAGAGATAGGCCAGAAGAGGCCTAGAAAGAGAAATTAATATGTGGGACACCCATTCACCCATCCCACCTAAGCTCTGGATCCTCTTCTGGGTGGGGTGGTGATTCCCTCCTAAGTTTCTAGCTCATCTTTTTTCCCATCATTAGTAAGAATGATAATCCTGGTGGTAATAGCATGTGTGTTTGTTTACTATAGTCTAGGCTCTGTATTGAGGATTTTAACACTATTGTCTTGCTTAACTTTCCCAAGAAAATTATAAAGTCATTTTTATTATTATCATATTAGTGTCTCTGTTCTCCACATAAGGAAAGGAGGCTCAGAGCACAAGGTCACACAGCAAGCAAGTGCCTTAAATCCGGGTATATTTTGCTGTAAAATTTACTCTATTACTGTCCCATACTGCCTGCCTGTCACCTGTCCATTGATCATAGATCAGTACAGAGGAGTGAGACTGCACAGATAGCATGCCTAGGTTGAAATTGAGATCCTACCACTTGCTAGCTGTGTGACCATGTGCAAATGATCCAGTTTCTGTATCTTAGTGTCCTTATCTGTAAAGCAGGAATGGCAACAGACCTACTTCTTAGGGTTAAATGAGGTAATCTGAGTAAGGGACTTAGTATGGCTGGCACATAATAAACAGTCATTAAATATTAACCATTATTATTATGCTACCCTTTTATTAACATATGTCAATTAATTCATCTAGCCATCTTTCCATCGATCTATCCATCCTTCTTCTTACAGTGATTCTGATTAGTTTCTATTGTCCCCTCCCCCTCTTCTGTGCCCTGCTCTGTACTCTGGAAGGCTGACCTTTACATGCAGCATTACTTAGGATCCCTCGCCCTCTAGCTTCTGTTTGGATTTGGCCCACAGGCGGCAGCAGCAGGAGATGAGTGGGTGGGAGGAGAGAGAGGCTGGGGTATGTATTCCCCAAATCCTTCATCTTGCTGCAGTTCTGAAAGTGAATACTTGACTCTCTGGTAGTTGTTCTCAAAGAGTGGTCTTTGGACAACAGCAGCAGCATCACCTGGGAACTTGTTAGAAATGCAAATTCTCAGGTCCTACTCCCTACCTACGGGAGTAATCTGTATTATAACACACCTCCAGGGACTCGGATGCTTGCTGAAATGTGACAGTTACAGATCACTTTGGGCGCCTCCTCCTGATGACATTATGCTTACTGGTGCACAAGAAATAGAAATAACGCTGAATGCCTTAGGTAGACCCATGTATGCCAGAGGGAGAGAAAGAAATCCTACAAAAATTCAGCATCCTGCCACATAGGTGACATTTCTAGGCTATTGGGGGTAGGGGGGAGCTGAAAAACAGTGGTCTGGGGCATGTTGCACCTTCACTATGAAGGAGGCACAAGGATGGAGGCAACATATACCATATTTAGGTTTCCTGCTGCAAAATATTTACTGGATATGGCATAAAGCTGGTAGCTCTGAATGAGGCCCAGAGCAAGGAAGGGGTCTGCAGCAGGTCTGGGCTCCATGGAAAGTTGTCCTGCTGTTTGAACCTTACACATTATAAGTCCAGTGAACTTCAGATTGTCTGTGGCAGAGAAGGATGCTGTAGAGTCCCAGTAGAATTATAGCAAAGTCCCTTAGGCTATTGGAGTAAGGCCACACCTTTCCTGCTGATGATTATTTCCTTTTTGAAAAGCAGCTCCTGATTTGCCGATGGGCCCTGGTCTCAAATTCAGACTAGTGATCACCCAATGACAATGCAACCTAAGGGTGTTATCTCTAGCATAGCATATCTCTAGCAGCATTCCATTGTTAAATGGACATTGTACATATGAGATCGGGCCTTTGAAGTTTCAGAAGGCTTGAGTCAAAGCATGTGCTGGTGGCTCAGATTCCTACTTGTATTGTTTTCTTCTTTTTTGGTCATACTTATGCCTTCATGGAGAAGTTTGACCAAACAGTTAACAGAGGAAGAAAATGCATGGTTTTGATTTTCAGATGGGTCTCTAAGGTATGCTGGCATCAGTGAGAAGTAGACAGTTGCTTATGCTCAGGCATGGCTCTGAAAGAGTGTGGTGAAGGAAAGTCTTCTCAGTGGGCAGAATTTCAGGCAGTACCTTTAATGTCCATTTTGTCAGGAAGGAGAGACAGCCTGAGGTTTGAAGCTGTATTAATCATGTGCAGTGTCTGCCGACAGCAAACCCTACCCTCGCCTCTGTGAAATGGTCCTTTCACTAACTCCATTCCGTTAAAGCTTTTTGAGCATGCCCTTTGTTTCCCACCAAGATCCTGACTGATACAAAAATACAGTGCAGAGCTGGTATAGAGGTTTTCAATTAAAATTTAATACTATCTGCCTGGAAAACTTGTTGTGAAAGAGCCTGAGAAATGGCAAGGAAGAGCAAAATAATGAAATAATGAAAACTTTTGGCATTTGTATCACATTCATTCAATAAATATTTATTGAGGGCCTTCTATGTTCCAGACACTGTTCTTGGCACTGGGATACAGCAGTTAAAAAAACAAACAGACAGTCCTGCTTTTCCAGAGTTTTTATTCTAATGAAGGAGACAGGCAATAAGCAAACCAGAAAAATATACAGCCCGGCCGAGGGTGGCTCAGCGGTTGAGCATGGACCTAGGATCCAGGAGATAGTGTTCGATTCCCAGTCAGGGCACATGCCCGGGGTTGCGGGCTCGATCCCCAGTTGGGGGCGTGCAGGAGGCAGCTGATCAATGACGACTCTCTCATCATTGATGTTTCTCTCTCTCTCTCCCTCTCCCTTCCTCTCTCTGAAATCAATAAAGAGGTATCTTCAAAAAGAAAAATACACAGTATGTCAGATAACCATAAATGCTCTAAGAAAAGTAAAGAAGGCTAGAGGGACAGGGAGTATTAGAAGGGTGGTCAGGGAAGACTTTTTTGATAACATTTGAACAGAGAGGTGATCTGAAGAAGGCGAGGGAGAGAGCTGTGCAGAGATCTGGGGAAGATGCTCTAGGCAGAGAAAACGGTGAGTGCGAAGGCCTTGAGGCAGGGGCATGTTTAAGGAATAGAAAGGAGGTCAATGTTAACAGATGATAAGAGGGGCCAGATAGTGTAGGGCTTTGGAGGCTTTAAGCTTTACTCCAAATTACATGGGAAGCGTTTAGAGGATTTTGAACAGTTTTAACGTGATCTGACACGTTTTAAAGGCTCCCTCTGGCTGTCAGAGGGAGAACAGACCAAAGTGGAAGCCTGAAGACGAGGTGGGAGGCAACGGCAGTAACCCAGGAAGGACACAAGGTTTCTGAGAGCTGGTGACAAGTGGTCAGATTCTGAAAATATTTTGAAGATATAGCCAATGGGTTTTGCTGAGGGATTCAGCATAAATGTAAAAGAAAGAAGAGGCAAGAACACAGCGAGGTTTTTGGCTTCAGCAATGTGGTGGATGGAGTTATATTTACTAAGATGTGAATGACCAAGAGGGAGTGGGTTTGTGAGAAGGTCAGGAGCCTTGTTTTGACTTTTTAAGATGAAGCTCAATTTTGAACATATAAGTGGAGATGTTAAAGAGGTAGTTGGTTAAATGAATCGAGTTCAGGGGAGAGATTCTAGCTGAAGACACAAATTTGGGAGCATATGGATGGTTTTTAAAGCCATAAGACAATGAGATCTCTAAGGGAGTGAATATAGGTAGAAGAGGTCCAAGTTCCAAGTCCTGGAGCTCCCCAAAGTTGACAGATCAGGAAGATGAAAAG